AAGCCGTGCGCGACTACAATCACCCGCGTCCGCGATAATATTTCTATTAATAGAAGGACTTAGCTGTTTAAAATTGCGTAGCTCCTCTCGCAGCAATTTAATCTCCGAGTCTCGTTGTCGTGTTGCCTCCGCGTATTTGCTCCTCGAACGCTGCTGCTCCTCACGTAATTGCTGCATCTCTCGTAGTACCGCCTGAAGAGCCAACGTCGTCGGAGTTGTCTCCTGCGAAGCAGCCCGCGGAACCATCTCCTCTAAAGCGGCTCGATCCGTCTCCATCGCTCCTTCTATATTTTCCGCTTGTATCCTGCTCCTTGTGACGACCGGAGAACGCAGCATCACACAAACACAACACTTCGACCGGACGAGCCCCCAAAATGTTACGTCCGTCCGTGCGTTCGTCCTGTTGCGCTCGCTATGCGAGATCGCTCTCACGATCGCGACGCGCACTCCCGAGCCGCGGAAAGAAATGGACTCAAGGATTTGTAGAAAACAACAGAGAAGGACTTTATTAGTATCGACGATACAGTCCAAGAATAACGTAGAGAGTATGATCTGAGAAAACACGTCCGAACGCCTTGACTTCTCTCTCGATAACCCATTCAAACAACCGCGCCTTGTTGCCAAGCAACGCGCGTCTTCCTTCACGGACGGCGAACCCCGGCGTATATCGGGCGACGGTGCAGTTTGGACATAACAATATAAATTATTTAATAAAAAACATTTTAATAATAATTTGGCTGAAGATGCTGTTACGTCCGAGGTTCCGCATGCATGGAACCTGAGGGGATGGACGCAACGCGAACCGAATCGCCGTATCGTCGGTCCCAGCTCCGCAAGGGAGCTAAGGGGAGGGACCGACTCAACGGGAGGCACTTCGCTTCGCCCTTTGGTAGAGCCGGGGGTTCGAGGGAGGACGAAGCGGAAGCCTCTCTTGAGATCGACGCTCCGCTGAGTGCCGCTCGAGGCAAACGCATAGGCTAAAGGCCGGGAAACTGGGTCAGTGTGCCTTAGGGGCACACTTCTATCCCAGTTGGGCCAGTGCCCTTATTTTCGGCCTCGGAAATAAATCCAAAGAGCCGGGGATTGGACTAAGTGCAATCGTGGTCGGCGTTATAAATATGAGGAGGTGTTTTCGTAAATAAAGAAAATCAAGTCGGAGTTGAATTAAATGAATATAATTGAGCTCCAATTTACATTATGCGATGTTTCCTTATTTCTTTGGTAATTGTTTGGTGTGATTGATGTGTGTAGAATTTATTGAGTATGAGATTATAAAGCTGGGGAATATTCAGTGAAGGGATTCAAGTGTTCAGCAGGAATTAAAAACGGGAATAGAGTATCTTCCAAATATGCGACAACGGAGCGCTGGGGTCTTGTGGGAAAGGTTAGCCAATATTCGAGGTGTTCTGACAGGTTAGTTATGTACTCTGGTGGCCTGCACGGACCTGCGCAAGGGCACGGAGGCCCCTCTCCCACAACGGGAGAAGAGGTCGAAGCCTTCCGTGACTGGCCGTGAATTGGAGGTTGAGACGATGGAGGTGGAAGCTCTGGAGGAAGCCTCACCTAGCAACCGTCCGCCAAGTGCGTCAGAACAGGAGAGGGATCCACTTGGGAGCCCAGAGCCCTCACAGAAAGAGGGAACGGAGAAGGTAGGCACTTTGAAATGCCCAATATAATACTGCAAACAAACGCTAACCATGCCGGCCGGGTCCAAGACCTTTTCCTACAGGCTATGGCGGGAATTGCGGTAGTGGCGGAATCCTATCGGGTCCCTACAAATCACCCGCATTGGACAGGCAATGCTACCGGCACGATTGCCATTGTATGGTGATAGAATAAGGACCCATTGCCCTGCATTCCGCTGAGCACGGGGGACGTCTATGCGTCAGATGGGGGGAGATGATAATAATAGGGGTATACATATCCCCGAGTATAGACAGGGAATACGTGGACAAAGGAATGGACGAAATTCTGGACCTTGTGCTGGAACATAAAGCCAGACCCACCATAGTAGCAGGGGATTTCAATGCGAAATCCCCCATGTGGGGATCCACGACCACGAACACGAAAGAAGTGGTGGTGGAAAGATGGACCGTAGCCAACGGTCTGTGTTGTATCAACACGGGGAGTGCCAGCACTTGCGTAAGGCCGCAGGAGGAATCAATCGTAGACGTAACGTTTGCGAACCCCCTGGCGGCGGCAAAAATCGAGGAATGGAGGGTGCTTCTAGAAGAGACCCTCTCCGATCACTTCTATATCTCAATCGTATTGGGGGACACCGCGGCTCAACGGAGAAGGCGAAAACAGCCCCGGCCGCAAAGGTGGAGGCTTCACAGCCTCAACGAGGACCTATTAACGGCGGCGATATTGGCCCATACGTGGGGGATGCCCCCGCCAGCTGGAAGGCCAATCGATGAAGAGGCCGAAAAACTCCGGGGCATGGTCCGTGCGTGCGATGTCGCCATGCTCAGAGCCCTGCCACGCGCGAAGCGGGCCATGCCGTGGTGGACGGTGGAGATCGCGAGTCTCCGCGACGGCGCCACGAGGGCGAGACGACGGTTAAAGAGAGCTTGCAGGAGACGCGGAGATCAGGAGGAAATAGAGTGGTACCTGTTGGAACTCCGTGAGGCAAGGGCGGTTCTGAGGTCCGCTATAGCTCGGGTCAAGGAGCAATCATGGAGGGATCTAATGCTCTCCCTCGAGGATGACCCATCCCCATGGGTCGAGGGGAATACCATTAAAAGTTGCCATGGGTAAACTACGGCGATGGTCCCCCCGGACGCCGCGCTACTCCGTGGAGTGACGGAGGCGTTTCCCCCTCCCCCGCCGCCGGCGGCGGCGGGGCGCGGGTGTGAGGAATCGCCGTTGTCCGTCGCGGGATACGGGGCGTGGAGGGAGGAGTTTGAGGTCTCCGTAGAAGAAGTTATGTCTGCGAGAAGGAGGATGGTGCAGCGGAAAGCTGCGCCGGGGCCCAGCGGGGTCCCGCCCAGGCGTGGGCAACCGCAGTGACGGAGATAACTCCAAGAGTGAGGGAAATTTTCTCAGAGAGCCTGAGGACGGGCGTCTTTCCTGAGCAATGGAAGGTAGCGAAGTTGGTACTCCTCCGAAAACCCGGAAAGCCGGCGGATGGTTCGTCAGGGTATAGGCCGATCTGCCTCCTTGACGACGAGGCCAAACTCTTCGAGAGGATCGTGGCAGACGTGTGGTGCGCAGCATGGAGAGGCCGGGGCCTAATCTGAGTGACACCCAGTTTGGGTTTCGCAGGGGCCGAGGCACCAGGGACGCTATCCTCTACGTTAGACGCTTTGTGGAGGAGGCCACACAGGACGGTATGGCAGTGCGGTGGTGGGTGTGTCACTTGACATCAAAAACGCGTTCAATTCCCTTCCGTGGGATGAAATCGGCCGTGCGATGGCGGATCACCGGACCCCGTGATATCTACGGAGGATTGTGCGCTCCTACCTTACCGAGCGATACCTGGTGTATCTGACTGGCGATGGGGCCATGACAAGGCAAACAGTGGAGAGAGGGGTTCCGCTGGGGTCGGTACTTCGCCCACTCCTGTGGAACATTGGATACGATGGAGTGCTTCGTCGGTCCGATCTCTTGCCGGACTGCCGGATTGTCTGTTACGCAGATGACACGATGATCCTGGCGGCCGTCGAGGACTGGGTGGAGGCAGTCGTCAAGACTAATGAGGCGATACGCGAGGTGGTTGCGAGGATCCGGAGGATGAACCTGGACATCGCCCCAGAAAAAACTGAGGTGATTGGGTTCCACAGCAGGGGACACCCCGCGAACTTGGGGGTGCGCGTGGACGGGCGGGAGATCCCGGTCGGCTCCCAGCTCAGGTACTTAGGCCTGATGCTGGATTCGAGGTGGTCATTTGAGCCGCATTTCCGAGCCATTGCGCCAAAGTTTGAGAGGTTGGCGGCGGGACTATCCAGCCTCCTGCCGAACCTGGGAGGGCCTGATGACAAAACGCGGCGCTTGTACGCGAATGTCATTGCCTCGGTGGTGCTCTACGGAGCACCAGTATGGCACCGGGAGGCAGAGGGCAACAGGAGGATACGTAGCGTCCTCCGAGCCTCCCAAAGAAGATTGGCGGGTCGGGCGATAAAAGCCTACAGGACCACCTCGTTTATTGCGAGCACGGCGCTGGCGGGCATGTCGCCATTTGAAATCCTGGCAGGGATGCGTGCGGACGTGTTCGAGGGGATGATGGCGCTGAAAGCGCAAAGCGGTACAGCGGTGGTCTCCAATGAGGCGAGAAACTGCTTACGTCGGCAGGCCTACACAAGAATGGTGGCCAAGTGGGGCGAATGGTGACGGGCGCGGAGCACGGTGGCAGAGAGCTGCTCGATGCCATACGACCGAGGGTCCAGAATTGGCTGGAGGAGAGACCGGGGGTCTCCTTCTATGCGGTGCAGGTGCTAACGGGTCACGGCTGCTTTGGCCGCTATTTGCGTCGCATCGGTAGAGAGAAGACCGACCGGTGCTGGCACTGTGCGGCCGCGGTTGATAC